CGGCGGCGGCGGCGGCGCCACCGCCGGCCACACGGCAGGCCGTGACCGCGCCGCGAGACGAGACGGAATGTCTTGCATTTAATTGGCGACATTTGATCGCCACCACTCGGCCGCACCGGCCACATCGGACCAGTCGAGTTGCCGCCAAATTGCCAAGGGCGCGCGCAGGCCGGACGCCTGTGACATATCCAAGGACCGCGCGGTGCGGTACGCTTCCGCAAACGGTCAGGACCCCGGAGGCGCGCACACGGTGCACGGCCGTCTGGCCGCGTGGCTGACGGCGACGTGTCCGGTCACGGTGACGAGTCCCGAGAGCACTCACCTAGAGCAGGACGGCCGGATCGTGTCGGAGAGGACGCCCTCGGTGCTGAGGACGTGCGCGGGTCCCAGGGAGGTGGAGGCACCGCTGGCACCGGCCAGCAGCAGGAGCCCGGCAAGGGGCACCACTAGCAGGCACTGCATGGCGGCGGCGGCGACGGCGGCGAGCACGGCGACGGCGGCAGCCAGCAGGTGGACGACGAGAGGGTGGAGGTGTCTCGCGGCGGGTGGGGCGGACGGTGCTGACGGGACCGCTACCGAGCTCGCACCGTGCCGGCGGACTCGCTCGACTGTCGCCGACTGTGCACTCTAAGACTGGGCGGCGGTAAAGTATAGATGAGAGAGTCCCGGGCCGCCCCGTCCCGCCCGGCCGGCGCGGGCCAGGCCAGCCCGCCCGGGCTGCACACACACACATGTGCGCGCGCCCGCGCTCGCGGGCAGGAGGGGCGGGTGCGGGCAGGAGAGGCGTACGCGTGCGCGGGGCGGGGCGGGGCAGGGCAGGGCGGCGGTGGGCCCGCCTGTCTCCCCGTCGCGCACCCAAAACATGTGCCGTGCACCTAGCCCAGCCCTCGCGGGCCAGCCCAAGCGAGTGCCTTCCGGCAACACGCAGCACACACGCGTACGCGTAGGGCCCTACATGCTTGTCCTTCGGCCCGGGTGCCCCCCCGGTCACGGGCCCCGGACATTCCGCGGAGTCCCTTCCGCGCGACGGCATGGGGGTTGCGGAAGGTGACGGCCAAGTAGCACTGGCCCCGCGGTCCCGGGTCGCGGGTCGCGGGTCGCGGGTCGCGGGTCGCGGGTCGCGGGTCGCGGGTCGCGGGTCGCGGGTCGCGGGTCGCGGCCCTAGGCTCCCAGTCCGCCCAGCGGCGCTCTACTTCCACGACATTATCACCCTCCTCCTCCTGGCCGGCAGGGCGACCTTGCGCGGCACTCGAGCGCACCCAGGAGGATATGTAGTTAGCGATAAGTAGGGTCGAAAAGGAGGGTCCGCCGAAAAGGAGGGTCGGCGCAAACCGCCGCGTACGCTTGATGAGATCGCTCCTGTCCACATTTCAGGTGTTCATAGTTCATAGCGAACGTGAACGGATGCTTAAGTGTCGAAAAATTGGACAGGAGCGAGCTCAAACAAGCGCACGCGGCGGTTTGCGCCGACCCTCCTTTTCGCCAGACCCTCCTTTTCGACCCTACTTATCGCTAACTACATATCCTCCAAGAGTCCTCTCGGGGTCCTTGGAGAACCGCATTACTCATGTGTGCGAAGATTAAGGGGTGCCGCCGGCGGTTGGCGAGACAATGAGGACGGGCTGACCTGCTTTGCTTGGATTGCAGGACGAATCACCTGTTATCTGCATGGTTGGTGCCGGCGGGGTCAGGAGGAGGCGCTCTCGAGGGGGCGTCGGCCAGTGCGCGGCGCGCCGGTGCGCTGGGCACCGAGGCCAAGCCGTGCCCCTCTTCGTCGGGGAGGCCGCGACGACGGCGGCCCGCCGGCCCGGCTGGCCCGGTGGTGGTGGGCCCCCAGACGCAGGCTGGAAAAGGGCCGGTTTAAAATAGCCCGCGCCCGCCCAGAACGGCCGGAAGGGAAAGGGAGAGGCGGATCGAGAATAGAATGAGGCTAGAGGCGAATTGGACGCAATGACTGGAGGGTCGGCCGGGCGCGGGCCGGGCGGCGGGGGCGGAGGGAAGTCCCTCTGGGGCCGCGGGGAGGAGCCCCGCCCGAGCCGACGATGTTTTGACCCGCCGCTAGCAATTAGCCTGATTTGAACTTGCGCGCCGCACGCCCCGCAGCCGATAGCGCGGCCGGACAGTGAAACAATTTCCGCCCGACACTTGTGTGTTTCCTCTCAAAAAAAGATGGGCCCCCGCTCGTCGCCGCCGTAACATGGTCACGGTCGCCTGTTCCCCCCGCGTCCGGTAGGTTAGGCACACCATACCCACCGCCGACCCGCCACAACCAACTCCCGTCGCAGAAACAAAACGTACGTACACCAAACAGCCGACCAAATCAAAGTCGCGAAAAACAAAAATCTCGACCGCTCTCGAGTGTTTTAGAGGTGAAATGTACACACACACTCACGCTCTGCCCGTAAAAATGGTTGTCACAACGCGTGTTTTTCATGTCAGCGCGGCGAAATAACGTCCCTTTTATCCTGTTTTTGCGCCCAACCGCCGTGACGACGACGCCTCCGTGTGAGGAGGGAGGGCGCCCGAGTGACTTTTCTCGCGCCCGCAGGGATAACCGCTCACTGTCAGCTGGCCTGAGCGAAGCGACCCGGTTTGGAACCGATTCTAACCGACTTCTCTGCTGCAGTCATTGTGGCTCGAACGCGACCACAGCATTCGGGTCTATCTCAACCGAATCCGTAGCACTGGCGTGGCGGAGCGTAGTAAGTGCGAGCGGAGCGCAGGTGAGAGGTGAAGCGGGGGGAGTAGTAGGGGAAGTAGTAGGGGAATCGGTGGAGGAAGAATCGGTTTCGGTTCGGGTCCGGGTTGAGACGTTCCAGAATTCGGTTTGGATTCGGGTCCAAACCGGGTCGCTTCGCTCAGGCCAGAATACAACCATGGTGCAGCAGCACAACGGCTGCCGCCGTGGTGATGCACTCGGATCCAAACGAGACGATATCCCGCCTCCCGGGGTTTTCTTCCAGTAGTAGAGCCCCGCGCGACATTGGCTTATCTACGCCCCGCGCGCCGCGCGACACATTTCCTAAACAGTTCGGCGAGAGACAAACCTGTTCTGCAGCAGTAGTACCGGCGCGCAAGCAGCGCAAGGCGGGCCGCGCGACTAGTAAGTGCAGTGAGGCTCCAGATTAGCGTCGCGCGCACAACAAAACGGGCTGTTTAGAATGGATGGTGTTTGCGCTGCAGGAACAAGAGGCTCGTGTGGCGTTCGCGTGCCCTGCCCTGTTCTGCGAAATTTATGCAGAACTAAATGCTCAACGGATTTCGTCGC